ATACTAATCAGACAAAAAATATTATGTTAAAAATTGTTATTAATATTCTATGCAAATACAATTATAAATGATTTAATGGTATATTCCTTCATTCAAATATGTGTGTGTACACATACATACTTGGTATATATCACATTGAACTATTTCCTTGGATCTCATATTTAGTTTATTTCCAGTTTTGCTGTGATGAGCAAATGTGCATAAATTTTCCACTACTTATTTTGGATTAATCCCTAGAAGTGGAATTAGATAATGAAATATCTAGATTAAGATTCTTGATAAGTATTTCCTATTTATTCTTTCAAAACACTTGTTTTCATACTTTGAATAATTTCATAAAAACTAGTTAAATGATTAGTCATCATGTTTACTTTTAAAATAATAGCACATAATGGAAGCTTACCTCTTCTGATCCACTATTAGATGAAGCTTGACGTTGCTGCTGTTGCTGCTGTTGCTGCTTCTTGAGCATTGCAGATCTCTGAACGGCCAGAATACTAGGACTAGATTTCCAAAACTATAATAGAAATACGAACCAGTGAATGACAAAGTATTGAGAAAACTGGAGGAAAAAGATTAATTTTGAAAAATTATACCAGCATTTTCACTGCCTCAAAATAATAAATTATTTTCCCTACTCACATTATGTACAGTATCATTGTAATATAATTAAAATAAAATGCTGAGTTTTAGTTGTATATAAAAAATGTATGATGTGTTAAGTTTCACAGACAGATGGTATCAATCAATACCCTCTTGGCGTTCAGTGCATTATTTTCAAAAACAAAGTGGTAATATGCTATACTAGTGATACCCACAGTGTGGTTACCCATCTTATTAGTGTGAGGTGAAGAGGCAGAGTCAGAATATAAATTCAACTATGTCACTAGCACATTGTTTTAGTTCAGCTGACTTTTTTTATAGCAAGATTTTCTCCATGAAAGAATAAGCATTGATTTATATTCTGGTTGAAGTATCTTATCTCATTATGGACTGGTAGTCTGAATAACACTGTATACTACCATGAAATATAATAGACAAATTTTAGTACATATTGGAGTAGCTTATTTCAAACACAACAACCCTTAACCTATTCTACCAATTATCTTTGAGGAATCTGAGTTCTACTAAATCCTCCTGCTTTTGGCAATAAAGTATCTCCTTTAAAGATCCTGAATGTAGAGATCATGTACTATAAGGTTAACAAGTAGACCTTATGAAGACTTTAATTTTTATCTGAGACAATGAATATTTTTTAAACTCAATTTCTGCCTAACAGATCAAAAAGGTTTTACTTGTGTATTTTATACTTGGTGTTTTATACTTACAGACTACATCTCTTCCAAGTCAATTAGTCCACAGACATACAGTCACAGATTTGAGAATGACCAAAAGTAAATTTTAATGTCTAAAATGTTTTTTGTTTTTTTCTGAAAGCTAGATTAAGAATGTTATAAAACCATCCTTTAAATTTTCCCAAAGTAATACAAAAAAATCTACCTTTCATTGGGTATTTATTACCTCAGCTCCATCAACTTTCGGTGGTTTTGCTTGAACTTTGTTTTCTCGGGAAGTGTCTGACTCAGACTCTGACTGACTGCCTGATTCAGATCCAGAGTCGGAGTCACTGCTACCTGACTGGCTACTGCTTCCATCACTACTGCTTCCAGAACTTGAACCAGATCCAGAGCCTGAAGGTGACCCAGAATCGTCATCCGACTGGCTACAATGTGAAAATAAACAGATTTCAAACAAAATTCATCAGGAATTTAATCTTTCATAAATGTCATCAAAAAGCCCCAAATCATTAAATTTTATTTCATATTTCAACTCTCTGTGGCCAAACGGAAAAATTTAATTAATCTATAATAACAAGACATATTTGATAGATTTAGTACATTTCTAGCTAAAATATAAGCACTAAGATTAGTAAGCAAAATATACCCACGTACAGCAACCTGGGCTAGAATTTGGGAAAACGAGAGGTTTAAGCCATGGTACCTACCTTTACAAGGCTATTTAGCTCTAGTAATTATAAAGCAGGAATTGCGTCAAGATTAAATGTGTTAAAAATTCTTACAGTAACAGGTAGAAATTTACTTGTAGTTTCTGCGTTGTTTTCACGATTTTATCTCTGTTCTCTCATACTAGGAGAATATAATTTATTATAATTGAGCTATGATAAAATGTAATTTACTTTTTAAAAGTCGGTAATACTGCCTCTGTGAGAAAATCAGTTAAATTCCTTAAGGTTCTATAATAATAAATCTTAAAATAGCAACAAATTCTCATAATATTTCCTAACAGCTATATATTTACATGTGAAAGCAATTAACAGCTCACTGAGGAACTATGCTTTTTTTTCATTTCTAATTCTTAGTCCAAAGTAGCCTAGAAATGGTCTGAACAGTTGATTTTGTAAATTATTATTCCCCAAGGTCATTTGTTTACATGGTGTTTACATTTGAATTGTTGAAAACTAGGGCATTAAATTTCTGGTACATATCGTAGAGTCAGTTTTTGATGTAATTTCATCTGGCTTTATGAGAAACCACAAGTAATACAGTTTATGCATGTACAGGAAAACACAAGGTTCCTGTTCTCTCTGTAATTTTCAAAAATGCCACCAGATGGAGGTATTACTCTAAGAAAATAGACTGCAAACTTAACAGTAATTCTTTTTCCAAAGCAAGGACTTAAAAGTTTCTGCATGGAAACAGAGAAATAAAAGTTTTACAGAAAGATTTTTGATTCCACAAGTAAGATACATAGATGTTTAAAGCATTAATAAAGGCTGGGTATGGAGGCTCATGCCCGTAATCTTAGCATCTGGGAAGCCAAGGCAGGATTGCTTGAGGTCGGGAGTTGGAGACCAGCCTGATCAAGAGTGAGACTCTATCCCTACAAAAAACAGAAATATTAGCTAGGCGTGGTGGCGGGTGCCTGTAGTCCCAGCTACTCAGGAGGCTGAGGCAAGAGAATTGCTTGAACTCAGGAGTTTGAGATTGCAGTGAGCTGTAATGATGCCAGATGCATTCTAGCCAGGGCAACTGAGCGAGACTCTGTCCTAAAAAAAATTATAATAATATAGTATGAACAAACATACCCATGTTTTTAAAATCTAATGGAACGTGGAAGAAACTGGAGAACATTATGTTAAGTGAAATAAGCCAAGCACAGAGAGACAAATCTCACATGTTCTCCCTTATATGTGGGAGCTAAATATTAAAAACAACTGAGCTCATGGAGGCAGAGAATAGAATGATGGCTACCAGAGGCTGGGAAGTGCAGTGGGGAGGTTGGGGGAGATACAGTAGCGATAGCTAATAGGTGCAAAAATATAGTTAGATAGAATGAACAATATTTGACAGCATAACAAAGTGACTATAATCAATAAGTTAGGGTACACTTTAAAATAACTAAAAGAATGGAATTGGAATGTCCCTAATACAAAAAATGTTAAATGCCTAAAGTGGTGGACACCTCAATTACCCTGATTTCATTAATTCACATTGTATGTCTGTATGAAAACATCACATGTATGTACCCTAAAGATATAACTATTATGTATTCATAACTAAAAATAAAATTACAAAGTAAAACAAAAAAAACTCATGAAATATTTTTCTTCATAGAAACAGTAAGCAAAAATTTGCTTCTTAAACGGTTACACTATCAAGATCACTTTCACCACTTCTGAGATCCAAAAACAGCACCGTACTTTTTTTTAAACCATACGTTACTTGAATCCATTAAGAGAAATTTTAGCAAGGATTATTAGAGAAGATGTTTTTCCTGACACACAATTTCGTTTTTCCTTTAACTCACTAGGGTAAAAGAAATCTTCCATTTCAATAAACCTTACTGAAAACTATTATGTTTGGCACTGGGGAGACTGAGATGAGATAAGGTCCTCACCATTAAAAGAACTTATAACCCTGAGACAATCATGTAAACTGATAAATATTCTGTGCTATATTTAAGACAATGGATCAAGGTGTGTGGGGAGCACTGAAGATACAATTAAGTTTGATGATACAGTAGTCAGGGAACAGTTAGAAGAAAGTGCTGTTAAACTAATTCTGCAGAAAAGAAGAGTTAAGCAGGAGAATCTCTTTAACTGCTTATAAGCTTCTTGAGGGTACTGTTTATTTTTTCCAGTATAATACCTTACATAAATGGGTGCTCAATAAATACTTAAAAAGTAGATGGATCAATAATTAAATTTGGGAGCTGTCATGGGCCTATATTCTTAATTATATATCTTTGCTAGTCATTTCAGATGCATAGCTAGTAAGAATTGCTTTTCAACAAAACAAAATTCTTAAGTGAATACAGAAATCTTTCCTTTCATGTTCTTTAGGCAGTAGTAGTTCTAGCTGGAGATGAAAGCAACAGCCTGAGGCTAGGCTACTCTAATAGTATAGGTTTATTATTAGAATGTCATTACGTTGGGTATTAGAAGCATTTATTTTATAGAGTTCTTCTTTAGAATTAAGAATATGCAAAGAGTAAGGAATATCTTATTTGCTGCTATAGAATGATCTCCAGGATACAGTTAAGTGGAAAAAAAAAAAAACAAGATATAAAACAATGTTTACAGTATGTTTCCTTTGGATGAGAAAGGGAAATATTTATACATACTCACTTATACTTTTTAAAAAGCAACAATGGCTACTGCTGTATAACAAAATTAGGAAAAAAAAATAGAAAAAGGAAAGAAAAAAAGCAACAATGGCAACATAAACTAACAACTAATTTAAAAATGGTTACCTATAGATGGATGGAAGAGAGTACAAGCAACAGGGATTGGAATAGAGTCTTCAGTTTGGAATTATATAAATGTTTTGCAAAATTTTCTTACAAAGAAAATTCAAAAAATTGAAAGAAAAATATAGAGCTAGAAAAAAAAACAAAACAAAACCATATTTAGACATAAAACTCTGAGCTGAAGTAGGTAAAATGCCTCTCCCTAATAAAGTAATTTTACTTCAGCCAACTGCTGCAAATGTCCTTTCTAAAATAAAAAGCTGATCATGGTCTAATTTTCTTTTGTAAGTCTTTGGTTTTTCTAAAACAAAGTTCAAACACCTATGAGGCTGTCAGAAATTTGTCTCTGCCTAATTCTCCAGCCTGCTGGCAGCCAGTTTCCCACTCAGACATCTAGTTCAAGCTATGGCAAACTACATGTAATTCTCTGAAAGCCAGTTCTCTTCACTTCCTGCTTTCATACCATTCCTTCTGTTCTCTTTCCACTTTAATTCTTGACTATCACTTCATGGCTAGTACTCCAAATCTCTCCTGGCTCCATCTCAACCCAACATTAAATTAAGTATCCTTCCTCAGCACTCCCAAAACTTCCTGTACACACCACTATCTTGGCTGTGAGCATATGATGTAATAATCACTAGTGTTTTGTTTTGGTTTTTGGTATCCTAAGACCACATATTCCTTGAGTGCTAGGATTTTGACCTATTGCTCTTTGTATGTTGAGCACTAAATGAAACTAAATGAAGAACTCAGTATGTTTCACGGGCAGATGGATGACTAAATAAATCAAAAACACATACAGGCATATATTCTTATATAAAACTCACCAATTACTATTCGGTTATAAAAAAATTTCTGAGCCCCGACTAACATTTTAGGTAATAACCCATACTATTTATCTTTTATATAACATAATATCTGTACAACACTTAAAAATTATCTTTATTAAGTATATTATTAGGTCATTAAGTATGAAATGTCTGATTTCCTCAAGTACCAAGTACACTTGATATCTTGACATTTTCACTTTGACATTTTTTGTTTTATTTTTATTGTGACAGCACATCCTCAGTCTTTAGAATGCATGGTTTTTGGCTTGTGATTACCTTTCAAATTATTTTTAGAGCAATTTTTGTGAAACCATAGATAAGTCAACAATTCTTGTAATTTTTGAAAATGAGTTCCCTCGTGGAACTGATGCTGCGTAGACAGCTCGAAATATCAGCGAAGTGTTTGGGAAGGATGTGGCTAATGAACGCACAGTATGTCAATGGTTTGAGAAGTTCTGTTCTTGTGATTAATCTTGAAAATGAGCCACATGGGTGATCTGAGACCAAGGTGGACAATGATGAGCTGAAAGCTGTAATGGAAGTGAATCCATCTCAACCTATGTGTGAATTAGCAGCAAGGTTGGACGTTAGTATTCCAACAATATTGGATCATTTGAAACAAATGGGCAAGGTAAAGAAGCTGGATAGATGGGTACCGTAGGAATTAAATAAGCGTCAGAAGAGAAATCGTCTCAAAGCTTGCCTTTCTTTGCTGTCACAACATGAAGGCAAACCATTTCTACACCATATTGTTACATGTGATGAAAAATGGATTCTTTTTGACAATCACAAGCATTCAGCACAATGGTTGGATAAAGACGCTAGTGCCAAAACAGAGTCGAAAACCAAATATTCATCCAAAAACTCTAATGGTGTCTATCTGGTGGTCCAGCACTGGTATTATCCACTATAGCTTCACGAAACCTGATCGATCGATTACAGTGAATGTCTACTGCAATCAATTGGACAAAATGATGAGGAAGTTCGCGATTAATCAGTTGAGACTCGTCAGAAGCAGGCCAATCCTCTTCCTAAAGAATGCCCGACCACATGTTGAACAAACAATGTTGCTCAAACTGCAGACACTGGACTTGGAAACTCTGTCAGCCACCATATTCACCAG